GGTGAGGCTGGGGGGTCCTAGCCTGGAGGGTGCAGAATAGCTGCTCAGAGCTGTTGGTGAGCTGGAGGGAGGGGGATGAGGCGGGGGGTCCCAGCCTGGAGGGTGCAGAGGAGCTGCTCAGAGCTGTTGGTGAGCTGAGGGGGGGCAGGGTGGGGGTCCCACCTCTTTGCTGAGCGATCTCCCCAATGCCCTTTTTCCATCTCCCTTACAGCAATGCCTCTCCAGCAGCACAGCGGTGCCGGGCAGCGTGCAGAGCGCCGTGTGCGACCGCATCCTGCGCGCCTGCGTGCAGCGCCTGGCAGAGCCCAGCTGCAGCCTCCTGCACGCCGACAAAGTGCTGGCCTTGGCCCAAGCTGCCTGCAGGGGCTTCGTCACCGCCTCCACCTCCCCGCCGGCCCCTCTTTACCTGGAGAAGATCCTCTTCCACCTGCTGAAGAACGCGGCTGCCCACGGCCATCGCGATGCCCGCCGGCGGGCGGCGGAGCTCCTCCACGCTCAGCTCTGCGCTCAGCAGCAGCGCCGTGCGCCGTCTGCCGACTTCGGTGCCGTCGCCCACAGCGGTTTCTGCACGCTGTGGAACGCGGCGGCGACGCTGGGGGACCGCCTGCAGGCCCTGCGCTTCCTGCTGCTGCTGGAGGATGAGGAGGGGGCCGTGCTGCCCCTCGAGCCGCCCTTCTTCACCTCGCAGACCGCCCGGCAGGCGCTGGCGGCCGCCGCTCTCTCCAAAGCCCACCAGGCTCCGTCCTCGCCGTGCTTCGGCCGGGAGCTGCGGGGTATCCTGAGCTCCCTGCGTGAGGATGCGGTGCGGCCGCCCGCCCTGCCCCAGGCTCTCTGCTTCTTGGAGCTGGCGTTGGAGCAGTGCCGGCAGCTGTGCAAGAGCGGCTGCTATGGGGAGGCGGAGGCGGCGCTGAGGGATGCGCGAGGATTTTTGGGGGGCTCCGAGGTGTTCGGCCAGGCCCTGGCCCTGCTGGAGGCCGGCGTGAGGCTGAGCCGGGCGCTGGGCAAGAATGTGGGCTCAGCAGGGGCAGCCCTGGCGCAGGCGGCAGCGGCGCTGGGTGGTGCAGCGAAGGCCTCGGGGCGTTTGCTCAGGGTGCTGGCCGAGGGCTGCCAGTTTGTCACAGCATCCCTCGCTGAGCGTGCCAGGAGCAGCCAGCAGCAGCCGCTGCCCCGGGAGGACGTGCTCCAGCTGTGCGCCTTTGTGCGGGGCCACTGCCGTGTCCTCAGCCTGCTGCTGGACGTGGTAAGGCTTCGAGGGTTAACGAGGGCTCTCCTGTTAATTAGGACATCAGGAGGCGTTGCCAGCCTTGCAATCCGAGCGGTGCTCCTGTCCCCACTGGTCCCGCTGCTGTTGTGGCCGTGGAGTTGATTTTCTCCTTTCTCCCTCAGGTTCCTCCTGATGGCGTGAAGCAGCGGCTCGTGCTGAAGCAGCTGCTGTACCACAGCCTCCAGCTCTTCACCACCATGGCCTGTGACACCTTCCGCTCCTCCCAGGTACTGCAGGTGATGGGGGCAGCATCTAACGGGGCTCACAGGGGCTGCTGGAGCTGCGCTGGGGGTGTGCCTGCAGTCCCTGAGAGGCTCTGCATGGGAACCTCATCGCTCTGACTGCATCCCTTGCAGGTGGCTGGGTGGTCAGGGCAGGAGCAGCTGACATCAGGCTGCCAGGACACTGTGATGCAGCTGCTGGAAGCTCTGGAGGGACTTCCCCAGGGGGAGCAAGCCAAGTACCTGGACATCACTGGTCAGCATCCTCGTAGCACCAAGCCTGCTTCCCTGGCATCGGGTTGGGGCAAACGTGGTCGCACACAGCTCAGCATCTTGTGCTTGTGTTCTGGGGAGCACCACGGGAGAAGGGTCCCT